CAGGATCTTGACCCACCCTGTTCCTTCAGGCCATGTCCTGAGGGGGTTCCTTTCCTTCCCTGGGTTCTGTTTGACCTTGTTCCTGCTGAGGGCTCCTCATGGCTCCCAGTCATGGGTGGGAGGGCATTTCTGCAGGGTTCTCCAGTGGATAAAGACACAGGGGAGCTTTGAAGGATCACTTTATTTCAGGGAAGACAGGAAGGCAACCATGTGGTGAGAGCACATGAACCCCATCACAGCTGAAGAAAAGCAGCCTTTGACTCTGTTGGAAGAAGAATGTAATGCTGGATACCCACCATTCCCCATGGATAAACACAGCAAAAAGGGAGGAAAAGGGAAGAACACTGAAAATCAGAACTCATATGAGCTTTTACCCAGTTGTACTGGGTACCACACATCTCCTCTCCTTCTTTGTGACTCCCTCTGGTTCCAGGGTTTGGAGGAAGTGCTTGGAGGAGGGAAGGGAAAGGACAAGTTGTAGGTGGTAACACACAGTGAGAGCCTTGGGCAGGTGGGTGTTGGCCTGCACAGAAATGTCTCCCAGCAGGTCCATGGCTTGGCTCATCAACTGGGAGCCAGTGACCAACTCCTGGCTCATGTGTCCCCTGGGGCACCTCGTGGTCACCTCACACAGTCCCACACACCCTCCCCTGCCCTGTGGCTCCTCCAATCCCCACACACCTGGAGGGTGCTCAGCTCACCCAGGTGTGACCAGTGGCCATCAGTGGCCTTTAACCACCCACCCAATTCCCCCCCAGGGCACCCCAATTCCCCAGGAGCAGCTCGGCTGCACATCCCAGCACTGAAGGAACTCCAGGAGACTCAAGGTACAATGCAGCAAAAATTTTAATGGCTTTAAAGACAGAAACAAAGCAGGGAGGGCTGGCAGGGCCCCAGTCAGGCAGCCCTGCCCAGCAGTGGGACACACGTCTGCCTCCCACCCCCACGGGCAGAGCGCCAGGAGCAGGACCCCGCTGCGCTGGAGGCAGGAGGGACCCCCGGCACAGCAGGGCAGAGACAACAGGGGCTCACGAGGAGCAGAAGAGAGCAGGACAAGCACAAGACATCAGCTGGCCACTTTGCCTCCCTCCTGGGCAGCAGGAGGAAAGCCCTGGGCAAGCGCTGGCCAGCAGCTCCATCCTCAGTCCGGCTTTGGGCTCCCTGGGCGAGGCACTCGCTGGGCTCAGGCCCGGCTTTAGCAGGGCAGGCACCTCCGGCCACAGTAGCGCCCACCAAGGCCGTAGCCACCGAGGCCACCAAGGCCAAAGCCCCCGGAGTTGATGGGGACCCCGGACTCGCTGAGGATGCTGCCCACGGCGGCGGAGGTGGTGGAGCCCACGGCGGTGTTCTGGGGGAAGGAGCTCAGGATGGGCCCGGGCAGGGTCACCACCACGGGCGAGGGCTCGATGATCACCCGGGAGTCCTGGCACTGCCTCACACAGGGCTCGTTGCAGCTGTTGGCCAGCGGGGTGGGGCCGCAGGGACGGCACAGGTCGTAGCAGGACATGGCTGGGGGTGGCACACCTGGCACAGAGGGCAGGGACAGCACGGGCAGAGCGTGAGGCACGGCCTGAGATCCTGCTCGGCAGGAGGAAGAGCAGAGACTGGGAAGAAGGGACAGGCTTCGGGAGAAAGAAAGGATTAGGGACCCCATCCCCTCCGTTTCCCTACAAAGAGAACCCAACACCTTCTCCCACCTCCTCCCACCAAACAGAGAGCTCGGGAGCAGATCCAGGCACAAAGCTCTCAGCAAGAGCTGCACAGGGGCAAGGCCAGAGCTGAGGCCAGAAGAGAAGCAGAAAGAGGAGAAAGACAAGAAGGCGGCAAAGGCTCTTGCTGCTCACCTGGTTCACCGAGGAGGAGAAGGCAGGAGAAGTGGATGAGGAGCCTGCAGTCGGACAGGCTTTTATAGAGCCTCGCACAGCCCCGGGCCCAGAAGCACCTTTGCACATGGAACGTGTTTACCAAGCTCATCTCCCATGCAAAACATCCCAATTACAGAAATGGGGATGCAAAGTGCCTTTTCATTTCCCCGGCCCTGCCATGCCCAGTCAGCCTCCCAGGCTCCTTTCAAGTGACACTATTAGAGGCCAAAATGTTCCCAGGGGCCAGGACACGTCAGCACGGGCAGATGAGGCAGCGGGTGCCGAGTGTCCCATTTCTCCAGGTGAGTCCAGGCCCTTTGCCCTGCGGGAGAGGCTTCTCATAATGAACAGGGCATGGCTTCTGGCAACTCTAAAATAATAGGCCAGGCTTAAAATGTGTTTTCTGTGGCAGGAGTCCCCACATCCATTGCTTAAGCGAATACCCAACTGCAGCAGGGCTGGGTGTAAACTTCCCTGTCATCTTGGGCACTCTGTAAGGTTTCAGAATCAGGAATTCAACATCAAGAGAAATCCATATGCTCTTCTCCCTTCCTTGCCTTCATTGGAGACCCAGGATTCTCCAATCAGCAGGAGAAGGATGTTTGAAAAGCACACTGAGTCTCCTTCCACCACCTCCACCCAGCACCAAATATCAGTGTTGGAGCTTTCCAGCACTTCTCCATCCCCAGCTCTACAAACCACTTCTGTGGGCCTACACCCTGACTCAATAACAGGCAGTGGAAAGAGCTTGCAAAGCTCTCCATGAGACATCAAAACTCCTCAGAAGGACTCATGGGCTGGGAAAACACTGGAGGCAAGCAGACATCGAGATCACTGGTTCCACTGCCAAGCACCTCGGCACACTCAGACATGCAGCTCCCAGCTGGCCCATCCCACAGGCAGCACTGATGGTGAGGGGCTGCCTGAAGGCTCTGCACTCTCTCATCATTCCCAGACTCTGCCTTCCCTCCCTGGAATGGTCTTGGAACCCCCCAGTTCTCCTGCTGCCAGCTCGGATCCTGAGTGTTCATGGGGGTGCTTTGGGGGGGGTTTGCTGACAGCAGCTGCTGTTCAGGGAATCCTGGGATATCCTGAGCTGGAAGGGACCCACAAGGATCATCCATCCAACCCCTGGCCCTGCACAGACACCCCAACAATCCCACCCTGTCCCTCAGAGTGTTGTCCAAACCCTCCTGGAGCTCTGGCAGCCTTGGGGCCGTGCCCAGTGCCCTGGGGAGCCTGGGCAGTGCCCAACCACCCTCTGGGGGAAGAACCTTCTCCTGATGTCCAACCTAACCCTGCCCTGGCACAGCTCCAGCCATTCCCTGGCTCCTGTCCCTGGTCAGAGAGCAGAGGTTGGTGATGCCCCTCCTCTGCCCCCCCTGAGGAAGTTGTGGACAGTGATCTCCTTTCAGCCGTGGGGGAAGGCACTGCAGGGGCTCCCACAGGTTATGGCACAGCACAAGAAGTGACCCTCACTCTACCTGAAGCAAGAGTAGGAGGCACAGGGCAAAACATCACCCCTGGAGGACAGAAGATGTGGGACAAGCACCTTGGACAAGCACCTTGTCCTCTTCTGCATCACCAACTACACAAGTTCATGGTGTCATCCTTGGGGTTGATCCTGTGCAGGGGTAAGGATTGGACTTGATCCTTGTGGGTCCCTTCCAACTCAGCATGTTCTGTGATTCTGTGGTTCTGTGACTGTGGTTCTGTGACTGTGATTCTGTGACTCTGTGACTCTGTGACTCTGTGGTTCTGTGACTCTGTGACTCTGGTTCTGTGATTCTGTGACTGTGGTTCTGTGACTCTGAGGTTTATGATTCTGTGAACTTAACCCAGGAGTGATGTTACTCCCCCCCATCAGTGGTTTTGCAGTCTGGGGTGGAAGACTTGATGTCTCATCCTGGAGAGTTCCTTTCCTTCCTTCCCCTGCTGTGCAGGGGGCACAGAGGGACCTGCTGAATGCCCTCACACGTGTCATGAGCTGCAGGTCCTGTGAACTCCCTGTGCTTGTGCAGCTCTGCCAGCGCCTCTGACAACTTCAGAAGGGGAGGGGAGGGCACCAAGGGGTGCCTTGGGGGCAGAAGGGAAGGGTCACAACCCCTTGGGCTCCTGTCACACCTCACACACAGGTTGGGAGCCACGGAAGGCGCCGCGGGGTTTTCTGGGAGACACGAGTCTGGTGTCCAGGACAAAGGGATGTGGGTGACTTTGATCACTTTGTCATGTGCACAGGACAGTCCCCTCCAGGTGACCATTTCAGTGGGACACCCACTCTAAAACCCTCCAAAAGGATACAAGTGCCCCACATCCTTTCAGCCACCCCTTTTCCCTGGGTGGGGTCATGTTTGCTGTTGGACCCTGGGATTCTTTAGTGGGTTGAGGGAGTTGTTCCTCCCCCTTCAGTTCTGGGCTCCTCAGTGCAAGGGAGACATGGACAAACTGGAGCAAGTCAGAGGAAAGGCCACGGGGCTGATGAAGGGGCTGGAGCATCACACACATGTGAGGAAAGACTGAGAGCTGGGAAGAGCAGGCTGGGGGCAGAGGGAAGGGCTTAGTAATGGGTTTAAATCCAAAGAGGAAGGAGTTTGGATCTTGTCAGTGCTGCCCATTGAAAGGACGAGCAGAAAAGGACACAAAAGGACAGTCAGAATTCTCCAGTGGCACCTCAGGAAGCACTGTTCCATTGATAATGTCACTGACAGTGACACTGGAGCACAGGAACACTGTGACTGACACACATGGAGCACACGGTGGGGACTCCAGCCCTGGGGATACCAAAGAGCCACCTGAACCTACAGCAACTGGCTCCGTGTGGCCCTACATGAGCCAGGCTGGGCCAGAAAACATCCAGAAGTGTATTCCAACCTCAAAAAATGGTGATTCTGTGATTTCCCCCTGAGCAGCTCAGCTGGGTGTCCCAGGAGCGAAGGACCACGAGGAGACTCAGGATATAATGCAACATAAACTTTAATGGCTTTAAAGACAGAAACAAAGCAGGGAGGGCTGGCAGGGCCCCAGTCAGGCAGCCCTGCCCAGCAGTGGGACACACGTCTGCCTCCCACCCCCACGGGCAGAGCGCCAGGAGCAGGACCCCGCTGCGCTGGAGGCAGGAGGGACCCCGGGCACAGCAGGGCAGAGACAACAGGGGCTCACGAGGAGCAGAAGAGAGCAGGACAAGCACAAGACATCAGCTGGCCACCTTGCCTCCCTCCTGGGCAGCAGGAGGAAAGCCCTGGGCAAGCGCTGGCCAGCAGCTCCATCCTCAGTCCGGCTTTGGGCTCCCTGGGCGAGGCACTCGCTGGGCTCAGGCCCGGCTTTAGCAGGGCAGGCACCTCCGGCCACAGTAGCGCCCACCAAGGCCGTAGCCACCGAGGCCACCAAGGCCAAAGCCCCCGGAGTTGATGGGGACCCCGGACTCGCTGAGGATGCTGCCCACGGCGGCGGAGGTGGTGGAGCCCACGGCGGTGTTCTGGGGGAAGGAGCTCAGGATGGGCCCGGGCAGGGTCACCACCACGGGCGAGGGCTGGATCACCACCCGGGAGTCCTGGCACTGCCTCACACAGGGCTCGTTGCAGCTGTTGGCCAGCGGGGTGGGGCCGCAGGGACGGCACAGGTCGTAGCAGGACATGGCTGGGGGTGGCACACCTGGCACAGAGGGCAGGGACAGCACAGGCAGAGCGTGAGGCACGGCCTGAGATCCTGCTCAGCAAAAGGAAACACAGATCGGGAGAGAAAGGGCAGCCTAAACAGGGAAGAAGAGAACCTGAGGTGTTGCAGTCCCCAAAAGAGCCCCACAAGCACAGCCAAGACCTTCTCCCCGCTCCCTCCAGTGTGGCGAAGAGAACAGAGATGAGCACCCGCTGTCTCAGCAAAACAGACCTGAGGTAAAGACCCAGAGGAAGCAAGAGGAGAAAGAGAAAAAAGACACAGAATAGAAGCAGAGGAAGGCTCTTGCTGCTCACCTGGTTCACCGAGGAGGAGAAGGCAGGAGAAGTGGATGAGGAGCCTGCAGTCGGACGGGCTTTTATAGAGCCCCGCACAGCCCCGGGCCCAGAAGCACCTTTGCACATGGAACGTGTTTACCAAGCTCATCTCCCATGCAAAACATCCCAATTAAAAAAAATTAGTGTTTTTATTTTTGCCCTGCAACGCTGCCTTTTCATTTCCCCGGCCCTGCCGGGCCTAGGAGCCTCCCAGGCTCCTTTCAAGTGACACTATTAGAGGCCAAAATGTTCCCAAGGAAAATGAGACGTCAGCACGAAGAGGGTGACGCAGCCGGGGCTGAGGAGTGTCCCACTTGACCAGGTGGTGCCAGTCCTTGCCCTCCAGGGCCTCACTTTAAACTCTTTCCTGACAAATTGGGTCAGGCTCCTCATCCCCCTGAGGCTTCAGCCTGGACATCCACCTCTGAGGGTCGGCACCAGCCCTCACCTGCTCTCAGGCTGGGCTCACTCACTCGGGTTTAGGCATCGCCTTTCTGGGCAGGGCTCCTCTGCTCTTGGGCTTTAGACTCTCTTTGAGACCGAGCTTTGATCTCAACACAAGTTTGCTGCTTCTTTTGCCTTTTTCCTCCCCTCCTTCATCCCAATCTGCCTTAAGCAGACAATTATCAGTGGTCAAGGACGAAGGTTCCCCTCCCAGCACTCTTGGCTGAAGGCACCTCCTTGACTTGGAGCCATCCCTGTGACCAAGGCACATCCTGCCCAATGGACACATGGCCTTCTTTCTGCCCGTGGTTTGCCACAGATACTGCTTTGGCACATCCCAACCCATGGCACGTGGCCAAACCCTTGGCAGGAATTCCACAGGACACCCAGCCCTGCTCAGGAGTCTTTGCAAGGACAGATGGAGGAGCAGAGAACAAAGGGTGCTTTCTGCTCTCCCTCAAGTACAACCAGAGCAGCAGGACCAAAGCACTGCCTGGCTGGGAAGGAGGGACAGAGACCTGGGCTGGTGGGATCCCAGGCCCTCAGGATCCCCAGACTGGAGACAGAAGGGCAGGTTGGAGGGACCAAAGGATCCCTGCTGGTGACCTCTGCAGGTCCAGGGTGCACAGCAGCTGAGTGGCATTTCTGGAGCATTTGCTGCCCATCTGCCCCAGGCTCCTGTCCCTTCAGGACACAGTGACACACAGGGAATGACTCCTCACCAGTTAATGCTTCTGCCCACAGGACTCTTCTGGGGGGGATCAGATGCTTCTCCTGCTCCCTTCTAACCCCAGGAACAGTGCCCAGGACGTGTCACTGACACTGCTCGTCCCTTTGGGATGAGGGGGGATGATTCCTGTGTGTCAGCCCCCCTCCCATATTCATGTCCCCCCACCCTCCTCATCACCTTCTCCTCTGGCAGAGGACTCACTTCCCCTTTACTCAGTTGCCCCGGGTGTCACCACCCCTTCAGCTGCTGGGGGCTCCCTCTGGCTCCAGGGTTTGGAAGATGTGCTTGGAGGAGGGGAGGGGCAGGACCAATTCCAGGTGGTAACAGACAATCACAGCCTTGGGCAGGTGGGTGTTGACCTGCACAGAAACATCTTCCAGCAGGTCCATGGCTTGGCTCATCAACTGGATGCCAATGACCAATCTCCCTTCTTGCTCACGTGTCCCCTGGGGCACCTCGTGGTCACCCTTGGCACAGTGACACCACACCACACACCCTCCATGCCATGGCTCATCCAGTGCCTCTGGTCTTTGGGGTTGCTCAGCACATCCAGGGGGCAGAAAGGTCCATCACTGGCCTTTAACCACCCACCCAATTCTCCTCCAGGGCATCACATTCCCCAGGGAGCAGCTTGGCTGAACATCCCAGGACTGAAGGAACTCCAGGAGACTCAGAACATAATGTTGTGCACATTTAATGAGTTTCAAAGGAGGTGTCAACCTGCACAGAAATGTCTCCCAGCAGGTCCATGGCTTGGCTCATCAACTGGGAGCCAGTGACCAACCTCCCTCCTGGCTCATGTGTCCCCTGGGGCACCTCGTGGTCACCTCACACAGTCCCACACACCCTCCCCTGCCCCGTGGCTCCTCCAATCCCCACACACCTGGAGGGTGCTCAGCTCACCCAGGTGTGACCAGTGGCCATCAGTGGCCTTTAACCACCCACCCAATTCCCCCCCAGGGCACCCCAATTCCCCAGGAGCAGCTCGGCTGCACATCCCAGCACTGAAGGAACTCCAGGAGACTCAAGGTACAATGCAGCAAAAATTTTAATGGCTTTAAAGACAGAAACAAAGCAGGGAGGGCTGGCAGGGCCCCAGTCAGGCAGCCCTGCCCAGCAGTGGGACACACGTCTGCCTCCCACCCCCACGGGCAGAGCGCCAGGAGCAGGACCCCGCTGCGCTGGAGGCAGGAGGGACCCCCGGCACAGCAGGGCAGAGACAACAGGGGCTCACGAGGAGCAGAAGAGAGCAGGACAAGCACAAGACATCAGCTGGCCACTTTGCCTCCCTCCTGGGCAGCAGGAGGAAAGCCCTGGGCAAGCGCTGGCCAGCAGCTCCATCCTCAGTCCGGCTTTGGGCTCCCTGGGCGAGGCACTCGCTGGGCTCAGGCCCGGCTTTAGCAGGGCAGGCACCTCCGGCCACAGTAGCGCCCACCAAGGCCGTAGCCACCGAGGCCACCAAGGCTCCCCAGGCCGTAGCCCCCGGAGTTGATGGGCACTCCTCCCTCTCTCAGGATGCTGCCCACGGCGGCGGAGGTGGTGGAGCCCACGGCCGTGTTCTGGGGGAAGGAGCTCAGGATGGGCCCGGGCAGGGTCACCACCACGGGCGAGGGCTCGATGATCACCCGGGAGTCCTGGCACTGCCTCACACAGGGCTCGTTGCAGCTGTTGGCCAGCGGGGTGGGGCCGCAGGGACGGCACAGGTCGTAGCAGGACATGGCTGGGGGTGGCACACCTGGCACAGAGGGCAGGGACAGCACGGGCAGAGCGTGAGAGGCAGGTTTCTTGTCAAAAGAGGCACAGGTTGGTGTTCAGGCACAGCCTGAACAGGGAGGAAGGAATTAAAGTGACTTGGTAGTGAAGGGGTCCCTGCAATGAAAGCCCCAGACCTTCTCCCACCTCCCAGAATGGTGGCAGCGAACTGAGAGAACAGAAATGGTCTCAGGAGAAGCTGCACTGAGACCAGAGGGGAAAGAGAAAAGGGACAGAGAAGAGGAACAGGGGAAGGCTCCTGCAGCTCACCTGGTTCACCGAGGAGGAGAAGGCAGGAGAAGTGGATGAGGGACCTGCAGCTGGACGGGTTTTATAGAGCCCAGCACAGCCCAGGGCACCCTCCCCACGTGTTTACCAAGCTCATCTTGCATGGAAAACACTCCCTGCTCCTGAAAGAGGCTTTGATTTGGTGCTGCAATGCTCCTTCCCCGTTTCCATGCTGGTGGCATCCCCCTTCCAGCCCAGAGCCTTGTTTTCTGTGCCATAATTAGAGATCAAAAGCTTTCCGTGCCCAGCGTTGTTGGTGCAGGTAATTTAGACATTTATGGTGATCTGCTTGGAAAGCAACGTGTTTTTCCTCCTCTGCCTCTCAGTTTAGTCACTGGCTTGTCTGTCTGAGGGCCATTTCCAAATTAAAATGCTGCCAGACTCACCCCAGAGAGCTGCAGATTGGGAACATTTGCATGTTTTGCACAAATGCAGTTCCAGGTGTTTTTCTCTGTGTCATGCACCACATGTCTGGTTTGAACCTCTCATTGAGAACCAAGTTTTGTTTTAGATAAAAGCCTAATTAGGTCACAAACCCTCCGTGGCACCCATTTTTTAGTTTTTCAGTCACCATCAACCGTTTTATTCCAGAAACCCTGTCATGATTCATATTTATTATGTCACTCCCTTCAAATTTGTAGCATCTCCAAGTACTTTAAATTCCCAACACCATCAGAATTTTTAAAAATGTTTGTTTTTTCAAGTAATTTTTGGGAATAATTCCTCCTCTGACCCGCAGAGCAACTCCTGGAAAGTCTCAGGGAGTGGTTTTTCCCTCCCTTTTTCCACCAGGAGCTGGAATGTTCCTCAGTGGGAACAAACCACTCAGCACCTGCTGTTGGACACGGGCCATTGGGCAAGTTGTGTCCCTGGCCTAATTAGGGCTGGCCTAAGCCTGGGTTTTATGTCCTGGCACCACAATTGGTGGCCAGAACATCCACTTAAGAGTATTCAGACAGCTCTGCAAAGGAATGAGAGCAATTGGGAACACGGGGCACATAATTTGGGTTTATTTGTTACCAAACCCAAACACAGAAACCCAAATGTTTCACTCGGAGCAGCAAACAGTCATTCCTACCACAGTCAAGTCATTCGAGGGGGTAATTTTGGCTGACCAAATGAAGAAAGTCTGCAGCTTGAATTTTTGCACCCTGAACCATTTCTGTTTCATTTCATTCATTAAAGCAGAGTTTAATATGTCGTGATTGCAGCAAAACAAGAATTAAATTGCCTGTGAAGGGATAAAATTGTTCAACCAGCGGAGTTTCTGCCCATCGTCCCACACAGATTTGGGATTTTATTTGTATAATTTTTTTATTTCTTTTTAAGGATTCAGGAACCAAATTAATTGGGAGGGCATCCTGTAATTATTGAGGCTGAAGAAGTGATCAGTTCCAGGATGTGATCAATCCAAAGCCAGGTTGGACAGGACATTGAGCAACCCGGGGTAGTGGGAGGTGTCCCTGCCCCGGGCAGGGGGTGGAATTAGAAGGTCTTTAAAAGTCCTTTTAAACCCAAACCATTCTGTGAGCCCACAAATAATGGAATTGGGTTTAGAAAATATTTTTTTCATTAAAAAAGCACCTTCCACTGCGAGTTTCCTCCCAACAGTATCAGAATCCTGATCTTTCCTTGCCCCTCATCCCACAGTCAGAAGCCACCGGGGTGTGTCTGTCTGCGGGTCCCCAGGGCTGGGCAACAACAGGGAAGCTTCTCCTTTGGTTCCTTTCAAGGGAAGAACTTCAAAGTTAGTCCCAAATATTCATTAATGGTTGAGACACACAGAGGGCACAAACTATGTAAATATTGCAAAATTTCAGTAGTTCTGTCGCTGGGTCAAGAACGTCACCTGAAATTGGGCAGCTGAGGCCACTCCCTGAACCACCTCCCAAACC